AATATATTTGTGACTCATTCTAGGGCATGTACATCAAATCCACCTATGACGGATTGCACGTAATTACTGGAACCACAGAAAATGTAAGTTCACGTCCTCTATTAAATACAAAAGCCATTGTATGTTTAAACAGATTTGACTGAGTCCCTATACTTTTCATTTAAACGTGTGCGTGCCGTTTTATTATCTGTAGTGAGAGCGTGGGTGCCTGTTTGATTTCTGTTGCTGGCTTGCTGCTTTTCACCAGCTGTCATCCATGTATTATTTAAATTGTCCTTTATTGTGCTTGTTTATACACCTAGCCCAGTTTTTGCCCCCACCCTTGTGTTTATTATTTTTTGCACTCTGGAGGTGTTAACCCATAAATACAAAAATAATCATCTCTTTGTTGTTGAGAATCACTCTTTTTAAAAATACTTTTATTGAAGTATAATCAGTTTACATGTTGTGTCAATTTCTGGTGTACAGCACAATGCTTCAGTCATATAGGAATATACATATATTCATTTTCATATTCTTTTTCACCATAAGTTACTACAAGGTATTCAGTATAGTTCCCTGTGCTGTACAGTATAGAGAATCACTCTTCTAAGAGCTGGAATTGGTGACCGTATGTGTAAAATGGAGTGTTTTTTTTGCTTGCTTGTTTGTTAATGGAATTTATGTGTGTCACCAGAGCAACTATTTTGGGATTTTTGCTCAACAAAGATTCTTTTCATAGAGTTGTATTTCATAATATTTGCATGATATTGAAATTTAGTCCCCCCGCCACCCCCTAAACCTTTGAATAGAAAAAGCAGGGCTGTTTCTTCTGGGAGGGACTTTGTACCCTGTTGTCTTCCGTTTGAAAATTCTGCTACATAAAAGGTTTTTCTTTAGCCCCTGAACCATTTTGAATTTCTGAAAAGTCGAGCTAATTGAATGCTTGCTTTATGCAACCTAGAATATGGCTAGCTTCTGAATGACATTGATATGAAGCTAAAAATGTTTGAAAAGCCTCCCTGCATCAGTGTAATAGAAGCCTGTGTCTATGGAGTTAATGACTAGTTAATCACCTAAGACAAGAAGAAGTAGTTCCTAAAAACGAGAAACTTGGTAACTCCTTTTCTAATCTGTATGTGTCCGATTTTGAGCTTCAGCTGCTAGGTCTTCTGAGAAGATAAAACAGCGTGATCTTTGATGAGGGTTTGTGACACACACTTGATTTTGTAATAAGACCAAAAGGACGTTGCTTAAGGCAGTCAATGAATTATACATGAGTTGTGTGGTTCAGGCAGACAAATGAGTAAAGATGGTCGTATCGTTAAGCATCCTTTGTTGAGCTACAGAGAGAATACACTGAGCTTATTATTATACCACAGCACCTGATTGGCAACAATGTACAGGAAGTTCTCCTTTTAGGCTGGGGTTGGTGTGAAAGAAAAAAAAATCACAAATGTTCCTCCCTTTCCTTGTCAGAGACTTCATGCGTTTTAGCTCAGCCACAGCAAGAACATACTTGTGTCCTACTCAGTACATGTTTTTGGAGGTGGATAGATTCAGAAGGATGATGAATATTGTTTCATTATTTTTTTTCTGGGGAGGAGGAGAAGGTAATTAAGTTTATTTATTTATGTATTTTTAATGGAGGTCCTGGGAATTGAACCCAGGACCTCGTGCTTGCTAAGCACACGTTCTACCACTCAGTTACACTCTCTGTCAATTTTTAGAGTTGAAGTTTTGCATCTAGCAACTTGGCGATTGCATTAACAGCCAGACCTGTGCAGTTCCAGGCTCAATTGGTTCTTTGAATCCATTTCAATCTTGGATAAAGATACGTGACACTATAATAGTATTACCAGAAGGCACATAGATTTCTTCCCTTCACTGCTCCCCACCCCAGCTCCTACCCCCTACTTTGAAGGATGAGAGTTGAATGAGAGATTAAACAAAACTGCTTTTAAATCAAATGAAATGTTAAATGATATAGTCCCTAGATTTCCTACCAGACTCATAAGACTGGGTGAGAGATTAGGGTCTGTCTGGTTGTGGTCGACCCTGGTGGTCCCGTACAGGGTGGTACCTGTCCCCTAGGGAGAGGTGGTTTCCATCTTGTGAAAGATTGAAAAGGGGAAAACTTGTCATATTCCATCTTGTAATCCACTTGAAAATGTCCCTCATTCTGTCAGTCAATCAACTTGTGTTCATCAAGTCCTTGGAGTGTGCCAGCCACTTCCTAAGTCTTGTCGGCGAGGGTGGGGGGTTAGGTAAGAGCCCACTTCTGAAGGGCTTGATCTGGATATTTTACACTTAGTACCGGACATTTTACACTTAAACAGCATCAGAAAATGCCAGCTCCCGGACAACTTTCTGGCTATCATTTAGGTCGCTATGGCTTCAGAGTCAGAATGTTTTAATGGAAGCCTAATGTGGTGGGTGGGAGTGGAAGGAAGTCACCATTGTCATTCTCAAGCGACGCATCTCCACACTCTGCTATCTTGGACTCCAGGCTGAAGCAATGCCAGCAGGTCATCTCAGGCCTCCAGTCTACTCTTTTTTGGAGGTTACCTGAGAAGCCAGGCTCACTTCAAGGTCAGACTAACTAGTGATTTACTATCTGTCTTCCTTTTGCAAGTTATTCAAGACCTCGGCAGAAGTCTTGACCGCACCCCATCCTTACTCTCATTCCCCACCCCCAGCATGCGCTGAGAAGGGGGTGAACCTCGGAAGAATGCATGCGTTCTTCTCCCTGCCGTCGCTCTTCTACAGCAAACCAAACGAGCATCAGTTTTCAATAGTCTGTTTTCAATAGTCTGGCCCGGCACATGGGGGAGATGGTGAAGATAGGCCAGCGCCACTGCCCTAGGGAGGATTTTGGTCCCAGGCTCTTCTCTTTACCGGTGTCCTGCCAAGCACAGCTCTTAACCACGTGGGGAGGCGTTTGAGAGATGATGTGTGAGGATCCTTAGGAAGGGAAGTCAATTCAGGCCATCGGGGCTTACTTTTTTTTAAGATTGCCTATTTATAAACAGGGACTTCCTGGCCTCAGGCCCATGTTTTAGAAAGTGAAGCTTACCTGAAATGAATCCCCAGGCCAGGAAGGTTAACTGGACTGGACTGACTACAGGCAGACCTGTAAGACTTGATCTGTCACCTGGGTTAAGCATCTGACACCAGGGGCAAAAAGCCGC